AAGGCTTGGGCATTGAGTACAGTGATAGATCTTTATCAGTAACGGTGAGGGAGGGTGGGGGGAGTTGGGAATTGAGGGGAAAAGACAGGAAAGTGGAATTCAGGGTTAACAAAAACAGAAGTTGCTGGAAAAGCTCAGCAGGTGTGGCAGCGTCTCTGGAAAGAAATGAGGGTTAACATTTCGGGGCCGGTGGTTCTCAGGAACGGTCACCGGACCCGAAACGTTAACTCTGATTTCTCTCCACAGATGCTGCCAGACCTGCTGAGCTTTTCCAGCAACTTCTGTTTTTGTCTCTGATTTCCAGCATCCACAGTTCTTTCAGAATTCAGGGTGAATGGATCTCATTGACTGGCAGAGTAGTTCGATGGGCTGAATGGCCCCCCAGCTCTCCCGTGTTTTGTGGTTACCTTCAGGTTCTGGCTTGCGCCCACGTGAATGCACATAAACATAAAAACACTTCCTTCCTGTTTGGCTGCTACCACTGTGGTGTGAAGGATACAAATATGATGTTCTATTAGATTTGAACAAAATCAAAAGCATAGATCAGACATTAAACGGAAGTGTTTGAAGTGATATAGTGTCACCCTCTTCTGGCCTCCTCCCGCCACTGCAGAGGGGGAGGGTGGAGACTGAAAACCATCAGGGGCTCAGTCAGAGAGAGGGAGGGAGAGAGAGCAACTCAGAACAGCATCAGCAGACCCACACACACACACATACACAGAAACGCACACACACAAATACAGACACAAACAGAGACACGCACACACACAGAGACACCCACATGCAGACACACGCACACAGCCCCACACACACACAGCCACACACGCAGACACACACACAGACACAAATACTGACACTCACACATACACACACATGCACACAGACACAGACACACACACACACAAACACACACACAGACACACACGCACGAACACACACACAGAAACGCGTGCACACACACATACAGACCCACACAGACACACACTCAGACACGCACACACAGAGACACAAACACAGACGCACACAGACACTAATACAGAGAAACGCGCATATACAGACACGCACACACAGACACACACACACAGGTACAAACACATAAACACGCACATACACCCTCTCACTCGCACACACACACATGCACTCTCTCTCGCTCATACACACACACACACACATGCACTCTCTCTCTCTCTCTCTCACACACACACACACACACACACACTCTCTCTCTCTCTCTTTCTCTCACACACACACCCAAACACACACACACACATTTGAAATCTACGCAGACACAAAGCTGCAGTTTCAGACCAGCTACAACACACATTTATTTTAAAAAGGGGAACACAGATTTCTGCAACAAATTACCAGAAATGTGTCTCACAGGGGAACACAGGGCTTTCGCACAGACCAACACACAGTGTGAGTGGGACTGAGATCAACCAGGAAATTCAGCAAGTTCACTTTTTTAATGTGTTTCTGAGAACGAGCATCGATCCACTTCACAGATGGACATTAAGCAATTACACGGATCTGTTGTACGTGTGTTAAATGTACCAATTGTCATGGGGTTTATTCAACACATTCACCTCCTCCTTGACAGTAGGCCAAGGGACATCGCACGGCTGTTCCACTTCCTCATCAACATTTCATCAGTAAAATCTGCTAATGAGCTGAACGACACAAACTGAGTTGAAGATGGTTAGACTCAGGGCAGTGTCTGTTGCTGCACAGAGTCTGTCTGTGCTGTGTTTCTGTGTGTGTTTTTTAATTCATTCACGGGATGAGGGCATCTCAGGCTAGGCAGCATTTATTGCACATCCCTAATTGCCTAGAGGGTAGTTAAGAGACAACCACATCGCTGTGTGTCTGGAGTCACATGTAGGCCAGACCAGGTAAGGATGGCATTTTCCTTCCCTAAAGGTCATAGTGTTTCACGGTCATTGTTAGATTCTTAATTCCACATATTTATTGAATTCAAATTCCACCATCTGCCATGGTGGGATTTGTACCCGGGTCCCTAGAACATTGCCTGGGTCTCTGGATTAACAGCCCAGTGCTAATACCACTAAGCTATCACTGCCCCAAGGGAGTGTATCTGTGTGTGTGTGTGTCTGAGAGATTGTGTGTGTATAAATGTGTGTCTGTATGTATGAGCTTTGAGTGTGTGTGTGTGCGTGTGTGTCTGGGTGTGCGTGTGTGTGTGTGTGTGTGTGTGTGAGTGTGTGTGTATGTGTCAGTGTCCGTGTGTGTGTCAGTGTCTGTGTGTTTGCATTACCACGTGTGTCTGTGTCTTTGTGTGCGAGTGTGTGTCTGTGTCTTTGTGTGCGAGTGTGTGCCTGTGTGTGTCTGTGTGTGTCTGTGTGTGTGTGTGTGTGTGTGTGTGTAGTGTGTGTATGTGTGTCCA